GAGAAAAGATCGAAGTTGTCAAGGATTTCATTTTACTTGGATCCACAATCAACACCCATGGAAGCAGCAGTCAAGAAATCAAATGATGCATTGCATTGGGCAAATCTGCTGCAAAAGACCTCTTTAAAAAGTTAAAAAGCAAGGATGTCACTTTAAGGACTAAGGTCTGCCTGACCCAAGCCATGGTGTTTTCAATCGCTTCATATGCATGTGAAAGCTGGACAATGAGTAAGGAAGACTAAAAAAGAATTGATGCCTTTGAATTACGGTGTTGGTGAAGAATATTGAATATACAATGGACTGCCAGAAGAAGGAACAAATCTGTCTTGGAAGTAGAGCCAGAAAGCTCCTTAGAAGCAAGGATGGTGAGACTCCGTCTCCCGTACTTTGGACATGTTGTCAGGAGGCACCAGTCCCTGGAGAAGGACATCATGCTTGGTAAAGTAGAAGGTCATCGAAAAGGGAAGACCCTCAACAAGATGGATTGACACAGTGGCTGCAACAATGGGCTCAAGCATAACAAGGATTGTGAGGATGGCGCAGGACCGGGCAGTGTTTCCTTCTGTTGTACATGGGGTCACTATGAGTCAAAACCGACTCTATGGCACCTAACAACGTAATCAGACAGTGTGCTCCGAGATCCCCAGAGGGCTGGGCTGTGTGAAGATGGGGATGGAAAGGGGAGCTGGCGGCAGATGGTGAGTGCTGAGCGAAGGAGGTCAGACTTTATCCTATAAGAAGAGACCCCTGAAGTTCTCTAGTCAGGGGGTGACATCATCAACTCTTGGGGCAGAGAGGAGTTTCTGGCAGCAGTTTGAGGAGCGGGGAACAATAGGCAGGCCAGTTAGGAGGGGAGGGTGTTGGTGTGGGCCTGAGGTGAGGAGGACCCCACCCTGAGTAAGGGTGGAGGAGAGACCCATAGGAAATGACTGATGGGAAGGCCGCTCAGAACCCTCTGGGGGTGGACTCCGGCAGGCCAAGGGCATTGGAACAAACAGAAACCTTCCGGTAGAGCAGCTGGGACAAGTCCAGACGCGTAAGAATCCTGTTAACCAGCCACCCACTTGGCTACTACTAAACAGATGCCAGGGACCCGCGCTTTGCTGACTCTGGACAAAACCAAAGAGCAGAACTAATTGCGCACTGGCCTCAGCGGTCTCGGCCGCTCTGGCCCCAGCCATGAAGGCCTTCCCCCACCCGACACCCGAGGGGGCCAGCACCCAATACCCCAGCAAGAGAAGCCGCCTTGTGCACAGAAAACTAACCCTCCCCCCGGGATCCAGGCCACCGCCTTGATTTCACAGATGTGGGGCCTGAGCACGCCTGGGATGAGAGACACACAGTAGTGGGGGGGGGCACTCAGTCCCTGGGGTCGGACCCCCTGTGGCATTGGGGGCATGAGATGCGTTCCAGTCATGGGATCAGTTGTGCCCTATCCAGAACACCTCTGAGACTCAGCACCTAACGATGGGACGGATTCCAAATTTGCATTTCGCTCAGCTCCACACGGGGTGGATGTGTGATCTGCTGGTGCTGACTGAGCTAGGAAAGCAGAGGCTCAGCTGGGCCCCAGTCGGTGGGCTGCAGAGGGAGGCGGGCTCCCATGCCTGAGCCTCAGCACCTTCGGAAGGCAGAGAATGCTGTGTGACTAGCAAAACGCTCTCCCTTTGGATGTTGCGTCCCTGGGTGGTGCGAACAGTTAACACACTCAGCTGCTAACCAAAAGCTTGGAGGTTCGAGTCCACCCAGAGGCACTTCAGAAGAAAGGCCTGATGATGTTTATTTCTGAAAAATCAGCCACTGAAAACCCTGTGGAGCACAGTTCTACTCTGATACAATGTGGGGTTGCCACGAGTCAGAGTTGACTCAAGGGGCTGCTATGTGGGGAGCCCCTCCCCAGTGCTAAGCTGCCTAAGAGGCTTTGATGGAAATAGATGAAGGAGCCACTTAATATGGCAAAAGGCAAAGCTGAAGCCTCTTTCTGGGAGTAAAATGCAAAACAATCAAAAGAGGTCCAGGATTGACTGACGGGTTCCCAGGTCGGAGGAGGAAGCAAGCCCACCTTTGGAGGTGGAATAGATGGGACTGGGGGGCCCCTCAGCCACGCCCGCAGCCCTCCCAGGTACCTCTGGTACTCCTGCAGGGCCGCTACCACACTGTCGGAGAGAGGCTGCAAGTCCTGGGAGAAGATGAGGAGCTCCTTCAGCTGGGCCTGCAGCCTGTCCACCCTGGGCTCCTTGGCGGCCAGCACCTCCCTCGTTGCCTGCAGAACACAATGAACCAAATGAGGGCGGCTACGTGGAGAGGTTCCCAGATGGGCTGAGTCGGGGGCATGGACGAGGGGCAGGGCAGCCTGGGAGAAAACTGTTACCCCGAGGTCAGGAACTGGGAGCCCCACTGCGGTCTCGGCCCCTGCTCTCCTGCCTCATGCTAGGTGATATGGAACAAGGTATCTTACTCTATTTTTTTTAAAAACTTGTGGTAAGTATGTATACAGTCACACGTTGCTTAACATCCATGAAACATTCCGTGAACTAGGACGTTATGCGATTTGGATGTTGTGCAAACACCGTATTATATACAGGCAGTCCCCGGGTTACACACATCCGACTTACGTACAACCTGTAGTTACGAACCAACCCCTGTAAATTCTAGTATATTAAAAATCTGAGGTACATACAATGGTTCGTAATAACAAACGGGTGCTACTTTGTGATGTCTATCAATCCATTATTATTATTATTACTGTATTACTGTGTTAAAACTGTTTCAGTGCATCTGGAAGTGTTTTTTTTAATTTTTTTATGCTTAGAAAGGTACACTATATACTACAGACTAAGACCAACATTTGACTGACTGACATTAGATACGACTGGTACCTAACGGTTCGACTTACGTACAAATCTGACTTAAATACAGATTCAGGAATGGAACTCATTTGTAATTCGGGGACTGCCTGTATAACCTAATGGGATCACTGACGTATGTGTAGTCAGACGTTGCCTGAACGGACATTATTTGGCAAATGACTGTGTGTATATATATATAAAAATATATATATATACATATATATGTGTGTTTGTGTATATATATGTGTGCGTGTATATATATATATGTGTGTGTGTATATATATATGTGTGTGTATATATATATATGTGTGTGTATATATATGTGTGTGTGTATATATGTATATATAGGAAGTCTCTGGGTGGTGCAAACAGTTAACATGCTCAGCTGCTAACCAAACAGTTGCAGGTTCGAGTCCACCCAGAGGTGCCTTGAAAGAAAAGACCTGGTGATCTGCATTGAAAACCCAGTGGAACACAGTTCTCCTCTGACCCACATGGGGTCGTCATGAGTCGGCACTGACTCCACGGCAACTGGTTTCTGAAAACATTTGCCCTTTTTGCCTTGTCCACGTGTACGGCTCGGCAGCATTAATTACATTCATCACGCTTTGCGACCATCACCGCCCTCCTTTTCCACAGTATTTCCGTCACCCTTAACAGAAGCTCAGCGCCCCCCAAGCAATGATGCCCTCTTTCCCCTCCCTCCTGCCCTTGGAGACCCCAATCCACTGGGTCTTTATGCATTTGCCTATTCTAGATACTTGGTTTAAGTGGGATCCTGCAGTATTGTTCTTTTGGGGCTGACTTATCTCACCCAGCATGATGTTGGCAAGGTTCTGGTCCACGTCGCATCAGGCACCAGGACTTCATGGCATCTACTCTTTCCGAGCTACAGGTTTTCCCCTTACTCTCACCTCCTTCGCAGCACTGATACAAATCACTAACACATAGTAAGATATTTGGGGAACATTGATGCCATGCTGAGTGCTCTGGGTGTCCCATCATCTCGTTTAAGCTTCACAGCCAGCCTGGAAGGTAAGAATCTGAGTCCCCGTTTCATCCATCAGGAAACTCAGGCCTAAGATTTCTGTACACGGAAGGCTGCAGAGCTCGTAAACATAACCCTGACGTTGGAACCCAGGTGGTCTGACCCTAAACCTGTCTCTTAAGCAGCAGATGAAATGACGCATCAAAGAGGTACTTTTGTGAAGGTATGATTGTTGGCAGGCCTTGAATATATTTCCACTACAGTTGTTATCAAGTCGATTCTGACTCTTGGTGACCCTGGGTGCTCCAGTGGATTTTCAATGGCTGATTTTCTGGAAGCAGATCACCAGGCCTTTCTTCTGAGGCACCTTTGGGTTGTACCGTCAACTTTACAGTAGCAGCTGAGTGCATTAACAATTTACGCCACCCAGAGACTCCATATTCCCGCTGACTACCCCCAAGTGCTTCCTTCCCCATCCCAGCCCCCTGGGACTGTCTGAGGCATGAGCTTGCACTCAGACATGGCCTTTCCCTGCTGTCCTGGGAAGTGTGGAGTTTGACCCTGACCTGCACGACCCCCAGCCCCTTGCTCAGCTCACGCCCAGGAGGAGGCAGGGTGGGGTATTGGAAAGTGCTCGGGCTTTGGCATAAAACAGCCCTGGCTTACAGACCCACCTAGCTGTACAAACTTCAGCTGTTCCCTTGTTGGTAAAATGGGCTACTCTTAGCAGCCTCACGGGGCAGGTGGTAAGGACGACATGCGTGGTATGACAAGGCACTTGGCACTTGGCACAGGGCAGAGCCCAGCCAGTGCCCGTCCCCTCCCCTGCACGACCCACACTCCCAGGAGGTAGCCTGTGCTTTCGCTGTCCTTGGCAATCTGACCCTCAGAGCCTTCTTTCACCACGAGCCAGAGGCTGGGGTGGCCCAAGGGGGCTCCGTCTAGGTGGACCACGTGTGAAAAGGAATCGAAGGTTTCAGCTCCTGGGAGAAAGCTCGAATAGAGGGATCTAGGCAGTGGCTCGGGGCAGTGGGGGCCACTGAGTGTCAGGAGGCCAGGGAAGCTGCCCGACCAGCCCTGTCCATCCTTAAAGGTGCTCCTGTCAGTACCACTAAGCGCAGTGTAATGACACCTATAAATGTTTCCCTGGGAGACTCAGGCAAAATCTGTCTGCGGGAACGGGCAGCTTCTAATCCCTGTGTGAGAAGCCTGCATGTTGGTGCCCCAAGAAGGCCAGTCAGCCTGCAGGGCAAGCCGGGGACTCAGCCGAGGTCAAGGGGGAGCAGGGCCGCGGGCTGTCTTGGGAGGGAGGCCTGGCCAGACCCCAGCAAGGCCAATAGTTAGCCCAAGGGCTGTGCCAAGGGCCTGAGGAGCAGCGGGTGGCCAGGGAGCTCTAGCCGGGCGGCCTGGCTAAGCACTGCCCCTCTCTAGCCTCCGTTTCCCCACTTGTAAGGGGCCCTTTCCAGCTCTGACATGCCAGATTTGTTCCAAGCATGTCATCTTCAGCTTGCTGATGGCCTGGGATGCCGGGAGGGTAGGCCCTGATGGGTGGCTGCGTTTCTGGACTGACTGTGGTTTAGCGGGAAAACTACTCCGATTCCAGACTGAGGCATTGAGAGCTCCTGAAGTGGACGAATTGCCCAGCCTTGTCAGCAGGGTGTCGCAGATCATTCCGGGCCCCTGGGAGGGAGGGCCTCGGGACGGCCAGGGCAGAGACCAGCCTGCGGTCACGGCCTGGACAAGTGCCTGAGGTCCCAGTTGCTATTGCTCCCATTACGCGATCTTCTAAAAGTAGGCGCCTGAGAGGCACAGTGGTGGGAAGCATGTAACCTTGGGTCAGCCTGCCTGGGTTCAAGTTCACACCCTTGCCTCCACCTGTGCTGTGTATGACTGCGGGAAGATCATCTAACCTCGGAGCACCTCAGTTTCCTCATCCATAAAATGGGATGATGGCAGTACCTGGCGCAAAGGGCTGTACTCAGAGCAGCCCGTGTGGGTAAGTGAGAACTCCCACCCTGAGGATTTTGAAGCCGACCTCTCCTGATGCAGAGACTCCCTTTACAAGTTCTTTTAACCGAAGCCCTGATGGGATCACACTTGCCTGCAATTTGCCTGTTTCTCAAAAAGGGGAAAACGTCCAGATTTTTTCACCAGGGACCTTGGAAAAGATGGCCCAAGATGAGGGAAGGAAACAACAGTGAGTGGGCATGAGGCTTAGCACGGTCCCCCATCACACAGTGGGGCTCCACCTGCAACACCCCAAGACACAGGCAGCATCTGGACTGCCGTGGCCATGGTTTGGCCAAATGCTGCTTACCGAGTAGAGTCTCCAGCGGGCCACCAGCTCGTCCTCAGTCCCTGCCTTTGCTGCAGGTTGAAAGTCCTCCTCTGCCAGCCTCTGAAGGCTCTTCTGGAACTCTCCGAGCTCTGCCTCCAGCTGCCTGATCTGCCGCTCACAGGCACCCTTGGACTTGAGCACATTCTGCAGTCTCTCCTCTTCCTCCTCACAGAGGACTCGCAGCTTCTCCAGGACTTTCCGCAGCTCCTCCAGCTCTTGGGTAATCTTCTCTGCACCCAAAGGAGAGGTGTTCCGGATGACCCCCACGGACTGCTCCTCCAGCCTCTTCAAGGACCCCTCGCCCCCGGGAAACTCTTTGGCGATGTCCTGAAGAAGGCAGAGGGTCAGTGGGAAAAGACACGGGGGAAAATATAAAACATTTGCTCTATTTTCCAGAGCCCCAAGGAATGTCATGCTAAACACTAATTCCTAGATTCCTGGGTTACAGCATGGGGGACCTTTCCAACGGGTGGACTGTCTGTATTAAACTCAGACTTAGAACATGAGAACACCATTCCCTCCTGAAGCCTTTCTCAAGTCACTTGATTAAGGCAAGGAGAAAGTCTCCACTGGGTGCTTCCCTGTCTTTAACACCTCTCTCACGTGCGTCCCTCCTTCTTTCTAACAAAGACAAAGACAGCCTCAGCTTCAGACCCTCAGCTGGCGACAGTATGGAGCTCAGTAGACCCTGGTGTCGACATCTGGTTTCATTGTATTGATGTGTATGGTTCTGGCACAGTGGTTAAGAGCTCAGCTGCTAACTGAAAGGTCGGCAGTTCGAATCCACCAGCCACTCCCTGGAAACCCTATGGGGCAGTTCTATTCTGTCCTATAGGGTTGCTATGAGTTGGAATCGACTCAACAGCAACAGGCTTGGCGAGCTACTGCTTGTGATAATGGATGCTGGTGTTCCATTTATGCCAGTGACATCAGTTTTCTTTCTAAATAAATGTTCATCCATTTTTTAAAAAGTGAGTTAATTTAAATATAAATCTTGAATAGTCCAGGTGCCCTGCAGCTATGGCAAGTATTGTAAAGTGGTTCTTGAGTTACTGGCGATAATCCACCCACTCACCTTACGGAGGGAGTCAGAGATTCATTCAGGGCCACACAGCAAGTCAGAGAGGCTGAAGTGACTCCAACTTCTCCCGACTGAGGACTGAGGCCCCTTTGTCTACACCCCGGTTCCCCAACCTCAGGGCTACTGACATGGGGGCTGGATAATTCTCTGTTGTGGGCGGCCATCCTGGGCATTATAGGGTGTTGAGTAGCATCCCTGGCCTCCACCCACTAGATGCCACTGCACCCCTACCCAGGTTGTGACAACCAAAAATACCTCCAGACATTGTCCCCAGGGGGCAACAATCGCCCTGTGTGAGACCCCTTGGTCTAGACAGTTGTGCTGTGGCCTTGAGTTTCCAAACGCCCTGCCGGGGTAGTGACAGCCACAAAGCAGCCGTGGCCAGAACATTTTTCTCACCATTCCATGCTTCTCCTGTGTCCTGGATGTTTGTGTCTCCCCTGGCACCCACTATTGTCCTATTAAATAGCCTATAAAGTAGAACCCGCCATCCATGAGCGTCCCCAGAGCAGAACCTGAGTAGGGGTGGAGACCCGACTGGGGGTTACCTGCAGGGCGGAGAGGCAGTGCTGGGTGGTCAGCTTGCAAGCTCGCCCCAGGCAGCTGTTCACCTTCTCCACCACCGCCCGCAGCCATAGCTGGAACTCGTCCACGCCCGCCTGGTACTGCGCATGCTCCTGGGTCACCTCCTGCAGCAGGTTCACTCGGTCCTGTGGGAGGGGGAGAAGTCACCAGCCATGGGCGTCCCCCGCCCGGGCTGGTCCTGGCCTTCCAGGCTAGGAAATCTGCAGCCTGCCTGTGTGTGTCTGCGTATGTGAGTGTATTTGTGTGTGCGTGTATTTGTGTGTCTGTGAGTGTATCTATGTGTGTATCTGTGTGTGCGTGGCACTGGGTGTGTGTGTGTATCTGGGCGTGTATGTATCTACAGTGTGTATCTGGGTGCGTGTGTGTATCTATGTGTGTATGTCTGGGCATATCTCTGTGTGTGTATCTGTGTGTTTGTGTCTGTGTGTGCCTGTGACTTGTGTGTGTGCATGTGTGCAACCAGCCCTCAGCCCTTTTGCTGGCGACAAAGAGACCCCAGACTCTGCTCCACCAACTAGCAATATGGCGGGAGACTCTTGGGTTTGAAGCCCAAAGCGCATCAGACTGGGCCCTGGCCCGGGGGTTTCCCTCCGGCCATGTCCAAAGCTGGGCGTGAGAACCACAAAGACATAACCCAGTCATGTGGCGCACTCCCAGGGTGCCGGCCACTGCGCTACAAACTCCACACATAGGTTCTCACTGGGCCCTCCTGAGAGCCCAGGAGGTGGGTACCACTCTTGTTCCAGCTGACGGATGAGGAAACCAAGACAGAGAAGCGAACTTACTTGCCCACGGTCACCCAGGCAGGGAAGTGCCAAGATTCGAGCTCAGGAAGCAAGGCTGAGCCAAGCGGACATTTCCGGCCGCATTACACAACCATCTGCAGGGTATGGCAATAAACAGCAGCTCCCCGCTTCCTTATGGAGGGGTGGAGTCACTTCTACATCCAGCCAGTCCCACCTGGGTTCTAACCACACAAGGGACGAGATTGGGGAAATGACAGTATTTCTGCTGTCACCCACTGTGCACCTAGAGATTCCGATTTTCCAAACACACTCCATCACAGTGCCCCCTCCTCAAGCCCTCTGTGGCTCCCTACTGACCCCAGGCTCAGGTCCAAGCCCTGCAGCCTGGCTTTTGAGGACCAGGCCACTCCTGTGGCTTGTGGTACAGCAGTCAAGAGCCTGGGCCCAGACGCCCAGCTGCCTGTGGCTCCTAATTAACCTCCCTGTGCCTCAGCCTGCCCAGAGCCTGTCCAGTATGTGGTTAACGACAGTACCTGCCCCACTGGGGTGCAAAAACCCACTGCCATCAAGTCGACCTCAACTCATAGCGATCCCATAGGACAGAGCAGAACTGCTCCATTGGGTTTCCAAGACTGTAATGAAAGATTACAGAAGCAGACTGCTACATTTTTCTCCTGCAGAGCAGCGGGAGGGTTCGAACTACCGACCTTTTGGTTAGCAGTTATGTGCATAACCCCTGTGCCACCAGGACCCATCGCATTGGGGTGCAGCGAGGATTAAATGAGTCAGTGCTCAGAAACCGCTAGAACCGCACGTAGCAGCCAGTAAGAGCTTAAGAGCTGTGTTACCAGTTACCAGTTGCTGTCAAGCCGACCCCAACTCACGGCAACCCCATGTGTGTCAGAGTAGAACTGTGCTCCACAGGATTTTCAATGGCTGATTTTGCAGACATAGATTGCCAGGCCTTTGCAGAAGTAGGGTGTCTTTGGGTGGACTCAAACTTTCAACCTTTGGGTGAGCAGCCGAGCACATGAACTGCACCACCCGGGGACTCCGTCGTAACCATGAGTCATTGTTTATTGTCTCCTCCCCCCAACACCCAATGAGACACAGCTCAGTCACGTTCCATGTCTCTGCAGCTGCAGGTCACATGGATGGAATGTCTTGTTACCTCTCCTCAATCCTTTGTCCCATGAGCAGGTACGTCCCAGGAATGCTAACCACCAGGCCCCACCTTCTCCAAAGCTCTGCCCAGAGCCCCAGGCTGAATTAACGGCCTTTCCCGTGTATTCCCAAAACACAGGACAAGCCCCATCACAGCGTTCATCTACTGCATTGTGCCAAGTTCTTAATCACTCGGGACCCAGGAGCTCCTATGGACCAGGCTGCCCGTGATGATTTTGTCTCCTCCCACAGGTTCTGTGAAGGCTCCCTGAGTTGCAGGAAGACTAAGCATTGAGTGCCAGATCCTGTCTGCAACTGAAGAATCGTTCTCAAGTGAGTCAAGGAGTCAAGAAGAGTGGCAGGGGAGACTTACATTTAATAAGCACCTACTATGTGCCCGGAAGCAGTCCCTGGGTGGTACAAATGGTTAACACATTTGGCTGCTAATCGAAAGGCTGGAGGCTCTAGTCCACCCAGAAGTGCCTTGGAAGAAAGGCCTGGTGATCTAATTTTGAAAAATCAGCCATTGCAAAACCCTTTGGAGCACAGTTCTACTGTGACACACATGGGATCACCATGAATCGGAGTCAACTCGATGGCAACTGGTTTTATGGGCTTGGGAACTTCACAAGCATCATCTTATTGAATCTTCCCAACACCCAGAAAACCATCCCATTCTGTAAATGCCCAGCTGGAGCTGGGGCATCTCATAACTCTCATAGGGCTTCAAACAGTGAGTACCGAGCTCCAAAATCAGCACCAACATCATGCTTGGTAAAGTAGAGGGTCAGCAAAAAAGAGAAAGACCCTCCATGAGATGGATTGACACAGTGGCTGCAACAATCAGCTCAAACATAACAAGGATTGTGAGGATGGTGCAGGACCGGGCAGTGTTTCGTTCTGTTGCACACAGGGTCGCTATGAGTCGGAACCGACTGGACGGCACCTAACAACAACAGACCAGCAGCCAGCCGACTTCTGTCAAGGGCCAGATTTTGAGCTTTGTGGGTCCCACAGTCTCTGTCACAACTGCTCAACTCTGCTGTTGTATAGCGAAGCAGCCATAAGCAGCACACAAATGAATGAATGTGGCTGGGTTGCAATAAAATTTTAATTGTGGACACTGAAATTTGAATTCCATAATTTTCACACGTCATAAGATATTCTTCTTTTCATTTCTTTTTCAGCTATTTAAAAAGGCAAAGACAATGGCCCACGGGTTGTCCAAAAACAGTTGATGGTTGGATTTGGCCCATGGGCCATAATTTTCAGACCTCTGATCTTAGCCGTGAAGCCAGGCCATGTCCCAGGAAGGTCCTGACCATCTACGAAGCTGAGTCAAAAGTTTTCCACTGATAAGAGTGGATTCAAAAAACTTCCCTGGCTGTTTGTATATGCCTTCCCTCCCTTTGGGAAGCTCCTCACCAAATCTAGAAATACTAATTCATTTGAACCTTTGCAACCACCATTGCAAGTGGGAAAAAACACTCCCATTTTACAGATGGGAAAACCAAGTCTCTTAGTGAAGAGCTGAGAGGCTCTTTCTCCTCTACCCTCACGGCAGTGAGGCTCAGCACTTCAACAGCTGGGAATGGCAGACGGGAAAACACTGGCGTGGCCTGGTGGCACAGTGATTAAGTGCTCAGCTGCTAATCGGGAGAAAACTGTGGCAGTTTGCTTCCGTAAAAGCCTTGGAAATGCTCTGGGGCAGTTCTGCTCTGTCCTATAGGGTCACTACAAATAAGGTTTGACTGGACGGCAGCAGGGACTGTATTGCACAGAGTGGACTCTGAGACAGTGACTGTCTTCCTTTATGTTTCTGGCCAGCCTCTCTGAGGACGACACCGGACTGACAGCAGGTTTCCCTGCTGGCTTCCTGAGCCTGTGGGATTATGCTGGACTGACAGCAGGTTTCCCTGCTGGCTTCCCGAGCCGAGGGATTACTTGCATCCATCAAAACCGTCCCAGGTTCATCACACGCCATCACTCATACTGTGTTTGGTTCATCCATTCATCTCTTGGTGGACATTTGGGTTGACTGAACCTCTTGGCTATCGTGAATAGCACACCTGTTTGTGTCGTTGCTTTCAAGTCGCGTGGGTATATATCTAGGAGCAGAATTGCTGGGTCATCTGGTAGCTCTACGTTTAACCTTTTTTGGGACTGCCAAACTGTTCCCCACAGTGGCTGTGCCATTTTGCATTCCTACCACCCAGATTTGGAAGATGGTGTGTTATCTATATCTCTACAACAATAAAAAATAATTAAAAAAAAATTTTTTTTTAAACCCTCCCAGGGCTTTCTCTATTCACAGGAAAGTCTCGGTTATGAAACAGAGCAGGGTGGGACTAACAGGCAGAGACTCCACGCCGGCCCCTGGTTGTCACTCATGGTGTTGAATGTTGAGTGCCGAGAACTCTCCAATGGAAGTGCGGGCTGGGGGCTCCGCGCATGTGAACGTTGAGGCGCTGGCATTCGGCAAGAACAAGAGTAAATAAAAGTCTCCGCGACGGGGCAGGCGCGAGGACAAGAGCGTGCTGGGCAGGCAGGGATCCAGAGGGGAACCCGTCCAGGCATAAAAACCACAGAGCCCATTCGGCAGGGTAGGCTAGCCACCTCAGGGGATGACAGGGTGACAGACGGGAGGGGCTCGGCCTCCTCGTTAGACCAAACAATGAAAGCAGCTGAGGTCAGCAGTGCTTTCAGGAGCCTCAACGCCCGCCCGGCCAATTAGCAGAGGTAGCGGGATTTGTCTTTGCAAAGGGCTGCGTGGCAGCTCTGGTTCAGGGCCAAGACCTAGACAAGCGAGCTGTCTGAAGTCCTCATGGGAAGCAGGGGAAGGAGGATGCTGTGATCAGCCTCGCCCTTCGGAAAACTGATCAGGTGGATTCAAAAGAAACAAACCAAACAAAAACCTCTGGCAAGTGGCCTGCTACACTCAGGAGTGTGTCTGCTGATCTCGGTAACTACAGGCTTTAATGCCTGGCTGGGAGAGGAGAGACAACTCTGGGCCCCACAGCGGGTGCAGACCACTGCAGACAGGAAGGACCCCCAGATGGCTGCCCCCTCAGTTCACGGGTGAGCTAGAAAAACAATCTGCCCACCAACACAATCCAAGAAGGAAGCTTGTGTCTTTCAGCCTGGGCTCTGGGCAAAAAAGAAGAATCAGAGTTTGGAACCAAAGTCCTGTTTTATAATTTTGGCTTCAGGTTCACGTTCAGAATACCCTCTTGACTCACGAATGCCCGAGTCAATACACTGATGTAAAAATAGAAATCACGAAGGTGAACTCCCAGGGAGCCTGGCAGAAGTGACATAAAACCAGCCACTCTGAGGCCATGCCCCAGCCACACAGGGCTCTGCAGAAAAAGTCTGCTTAGGATGAGTTCACAGCTCCAAACCACAGCGTCCCCAAGGGAATAATTCACCATGTCAGGAGACACAACAGACAGCAACATCAGACCCCAGAATGTCAGCTACTTGAACAATCTGATGGAGACTGTAAAATATTTGTGCTTTCAATGATTACAGATATAATAATAAAGAAGGAATGCACAATTTAAGCAAAAAAATTCATAAATGTAGAAGGAAGAAAGGGAGGGAGTGAGAGAGAGAGAAAGAGAGAGAAAGAAAGAAAGAGCGTGCTCCCGGGTTACCTCCACCAGGTCCTGTGGTGGGGGGAGTCACCAGCCATGAGAAAGAGAGAGAGAAAGGAAGGAAAGAAGGAGGGAAGGAGGGAGGGAGGGAGAGAGAGAAGGAAGAAGGAAGGAAGGAAGGAAGGAGTGGACATAATAAAGAACTAAATGGAATTTCTAAAAATAAAAAATAATAATTGAATGTAATAACTAAATGGACTGGTTAAAAATCAGAGCAAGAATGAGGTGAGGAAATGGGGACTATGGGTGAGCAGAGGGATTGAGGAAAAGGGCAAGAGAGAGCGGAGGAGGAAAGGCTAGAGGACCAGAGGGTAGGAGGGCAAAGAGAGAGGGAGGGAGGAGGGAAGGGGAGAGGGAGAAAGAGGATCTGCCCGAGGTGAGGCAATGGCCTCCCTCTCCCTGAATGCACTTCCCCAACAAGCTAACTCCAGCTCCACCTTTGAGGCCCAAATCAAAAGGCACCAATGATGTGAGGTGGTCTTGACCAATGCGAGACTTAGCCCCCTCTCCTGAGGTGCCCCCTTGTGTTTTCAGACCTCTCTCCTGGCATCCATCCACTGTTCTATCTCTGAGTTCCTTCCTCTACTGACCAGGCTGAGGGGGGTCCCCACCCCTAAGCAGGGCCACAGGGCAGCAGACACAGGGTGTGTTGGCCAAGAGAATAGGGGGTCTCCTGAGCAGTGCCAGGGGTCAGCCTCAGATAGAAGGGCACCCACTGTCCCTCTGTGTGCCAGGCCCTCCCTCTCCCTGCCTTAGCTACCTGTCTCTAACCTCAACTTCCAGCCTGACGCCCCCGCTCCAGGAATCAGCTCCCTGTGGGGGTGAATGACACTGGGGCCAGGAGCCTGCCTGAAGCCAGGCAGGCCTGAGCTGAGTCCTGGCTGGCACTCTGGCTGTGGGTCCTTGGGCAAGTCACCCACCTCCTGAGCTTCTTTTTCTCTTCTGTAAAATGGGCATAATAACAGGAGTCCTTTGATGAGGTTGTGAGCATTAAATGGAAGCGTGGATGCAGAAGGCACCACACAAAGCCTGGTATTCGTTTGTACTTGATAAACACTGACTGCTATTTCCGCTTCCTCCCCTCCCCCCGCCCACTGCAATGATCATTATTATCCAACAAAGATATATTATGCGCGTCTATGTGCCATACATTGTGCTGGGCGATTTAATGGTGAGCAAAACAGAAAATGGACCCTTGTCCCTGTGAAGCTTGCTGATTAATAGGGGAGAAAGATAATAAAGAAATAAATGCAAAAATACATATGATAAGTGCTACTATGGAAAGAACAGACATCTATGACAGAGAACAAACGAGGGTTCTTCCCTTAGGCTGAGGGATCAGCAAAGACTTCTCCAAAGTGGTGACATTATTAATACTAGTCTAAACATAACCCTCATTTGGGAAGCTTTCCCTGACAGGGCAGAGAGTGAGTCGTATTAATGCCTGCACCGTCAGTACCCAGACAAGGACATGGACCAGCACCTGACCCAGAGAAGGTCCAGTGAACGTTTGCGAAGAGAACAAGTAGAGGGAGGGGCCGGGTGGTTAGGTGGATGCCGGGTGGTTTTTAAGTGGGTAGATGGATGGGCATGAGGCTGAGGGATGGATGGGTTGATGGGTGGGTGGCTGGGTGGGTGGGTGAATGAGTAGTAGATGGCTGAATGGGGGATAGATAGTGAGTAGGTGGGGAGATGACTGACAGATGGAGAGATGGAAAATGGGTGGGTGGGTAGTTAGGTGGTAGGTTGCTAAAGAGCGGGAGAGCATATGGATGGTAGGTAATAGGTGGATGGGTGGGCAGATGGTGGAGGGGTAGGTGGATGGTGGGGGGTAGATGGAAAACTAGTGGGCTGGTAGTTAGGTGGTGGGTGGGTGGATGGGTAGACGGGTGACAGGTGGATACCCAGTGAATAAGGAGGTGGGTGGAGGAGTAGACAGTGGGTGGGTGGTAAATAGTGGAGAGATGGACGAGTGAATGGGTTGGTGAAGAGGAGGGTGGGTTGGTGGGTAGGTGAGTAAGTAGATACAGGAACAGGTGGCTGTCTATTTGAATAAACAAATAGGAGACAAGTAGGCGTGGAGGTAGATGGGTGTGTGGGTAGACAGATGGATAGGAGGGTGGTTTGAGTAGGGAAGTGGATGAGTGGTGGTGGGCAGGTAGGTGAGTGCATAATGGATTGGGAGGTTCGGTAGATTAGTGGGGTGGGGAGATAGATGGGTGAGTGGGTAGATATATGGATATGAGGCGGGTAGAGGGATGGGTGGTGGGTGAGCAGATGGATGGACTACAGGTGAGTTGGTGGTGGGTAAGTTGGTGGGTGGGTAAATGGAAGGGTGGTGTGTGGGCAGATGGATGGATTACAGGTGAGTTGGTGGTGGGTAAGTTCGCGGATGGCTAGATGGATAGGTGGACAGACAGATGGTGAGTAGGCAGGTAGTGAGTGGTGGGTCAGTAGACAGATGACCGGATAGTTAGTAAGTAAATGGGTGGCTGGATGGGTAGATAGTGGGTAGACAGACGGAGAGGTGAGTGAAGACACAGCTGGCCAAGCTCACCTGGGCTTTGACCTTCACGGCGTCGTACTCAGCCTTCATCCTCTTCTGGGCATCTTCGTCCACGCTGGGGTCCCCGATCCTGTTGAACAGGGAGGCCGCCTCCTCCAGCAGCCGGTCCAGGAGCACAGCCTGGTTGTCCACATAGTGCAGTAGCACCTGGGCGTGGCTCAGCTGCCACTGCTTCTCCTTCAGGCCCAGCTGCAGCTCCACGCGGGGCTCCAGGGTCACCATCATCTTCTGGAACCAGCGGTAGAATTCATCTCGGGCCAACAGGTATTCGCTCCAGTGCAGCCACACCCACTCGATGCGGCTGTGGACACAGAGACGGGAGGCCGTGAACCCACCCCACCTGGCTCCTCGGCAGGGGGCCATGCCGCTGCCTCCGTCCCAACACTAGAGGGCGGGTGATGGGGCAGTGATGCCTTCTCTGGGCCTCAGAGCCCCCGGGCAGCCTGTTCACACTCCAGACCGGGCTCTACCTCCGTCCTACTGGATAAGACCCTTTTGTCCTATAAATGGAAACCCTGGTGGTGTTGTGGTTAAGAGCTACGGCTGCCAATCAAAAGGTCAGCAGTTTGAATCCACCAGGCACTCCTTGGAAACCCTATGGGGCAGTTCTACCCTGTCCTATAGGGTCGCTATGAGTTGGAATCAACTCGACGCAATGGGTATGAGTTTTTTTGTCCTGTAAATAAGTTCTATGGGTGGGGCAAGGAGAAGGCAAAAAAGCAAACCAAACCAGCTGTTGTCCAACTCATGGCAACCCTATGTTACAGAGTAGAACTGCCCTCCATAGGAAGCAGATTGCCAGGCCTTTCTTCCAAGGCACCTCTGGCTGGATTTGGACCACCAACCTTTTGGTTGGTAGGTGAGCGCTTAACTGTCTGCACCACCCAGGGACTAAGGAGCAGGCAGGGGGCCGAGATTCCAGACCCACTCTGGGAAGCACCAGCCTTGGTGATACAGGTTGGTGAGTCCTTAGCTACCTACACCCCAAATTCTAGCCCTGAACTCCCAATAACCATGCACAGGCACTCCTGGCCATTTCTCTCTGGTGTTGGGACTCGGAGCTCAGTCACCCCAGGCTCTTACCACGTGTGTGTGCGCTTAACAGTTACAGAAGACCGCCCTGGGGAGTCGGCAGGTAATGCACAGAGTACAACTGGATCTGTGGGCTCGTTAGGGCTCAGAGGGGACTGGGGGAGGTTGAGGTCTGCACAAGGGTCCCAGCAGTGCCAGGAGCTCACTGCATAACCCTGCCTCATCATCTGCCTCAGTTTCCTCAACCGTAACAGGAAAGTGGCCCTCTCTCTCCAGCCAGCATCACGCTGCCTTGTTTGGAATTTTCAATGAAAGGTTCTAGAAAGCAATGAGCATTCACATTCTTATTTTATCAAGATGGAGAGGATGCGGCAGCTCCTCTTTCCTGAGGCCTACTGTGTGCCAAGCACGGGGCCTTGCTCTTAACATTTGGTATCTCCTTCCATCCTCCTAACAACCTTCAAGGGACACTTGATATCCCCATTGTCCAGATGAGGAGACTGAGGGTCAGAGAGGCCAAGTAACTTTCCCAAGGCCCTGCAGAAAATAACCAGCAGAGCAGGAGTCAGTCCCACGTCGGCCTGACTCTTCCCTCGCCTATGTTCGCCACACCAAGCACCTGGTTCCTCCAGTCACTGGGCTCCCAGGTGCAGGCAGAGAATCTGAGCTAACGTGCTGGCAAAGCAACAAGCCTTCTTACTCCAGGGGCCTTGCTCTTCAGCTGGAGGACACACACAAGGCAAGTCCATTAAGAACTGTTGGCAAAACATGCGGGGCCCCCAGTGACCACTCTGCCGTTAAGCTGTATTCTAATTAGAAAAAGGCAAGCAGGGCTGGCTCCAATCCCAGGAGAACGTCCTGTGCCAGCCTTCCCAGGCCCGGATCACGGCACTTGGGTGGAGGCCTGGGGCCAGTGTGGCGGTGGGCAAGCAAGGACAGTGTCCTACCTGTGACAGTGAGTCATGTAGGTGACCGTCTCTTCCCACTGGGCCTTGATGTCTTTCAGCCGGACCAGGATCTCGGGCTTCTGGTCTTCAAGGCAGCACGCCAGGAGGGCTTTGGCTGAGCATAGCACCAACTCCACCTTCATGCGCCCCTCGGGCTTCAGTTGGCATATTTTCTGTCAGGGACACAAAAGCCAGTTTCCCGGGTTTAGGCGACATGCAAACAGGCACAGGCAGGGGAAAGCAGTGACACGGTGGAGACAGCCAGGACTCTGAGGCCAGAGCAGCTGGGGTGCAAATCGCAGCCCCTGTGCCCCTCTTCTGTGATCTTGGGGGGCCCACCTAGAGGTTCCGAGGTGGAAGGAAGGAGCAATGATGGAGGTGACCACAGACCACCTCCTCCCCTCCTTGGCCTGTTCCTACTGCGTGAGCGAAGGTCGGCTTCACTGGCCCGTTTACTCATCTGCAACAGGAAGGTGTGAGTAGTATCCACCTCCCAGTTTGGAGGGTCTTTTTCGGGGTTAAATGAGAACATGCATGCAATGTGCTTGTCACAGTGCGTGGCTGCCATGAGAATCGGTCTCTCAGACTCACTGCGGGACCAGGGCCTGGGGCCTCACCTCTGTGCCTGCACTGAGGCCCCATCCCCGCTGCCCAAAGCTGCTCCCAGCCAGTGACCGCACTCGTGGGAACACGAAGGCAAGTCCGCTCCTGGGAGGCGTCAGGCTCCCCTGATGGGTGACTTTGGCTCAAGAACTCCCCATGGCCTTGCCAAACTCTCCTTAGAACAACTGCCCTGCAGCCTAGCCGCTCCCCCACCCTCCTTCCCCTCCCCTCTGCAGGAATGGACCCAGCGGGCCTGGGTCAGATTTTCTCCCAGCCTCTCCAGGCTTCCCATGTTCCCTCTGCAGCTTTTCCTTCAACAAATGTCACGCACATGTCATCGCATCTCGGTGCCGGCTTCTTGGAGGACCAAGACCAACAAACATCGTCCACAGATAGTTGGCCTCCGATTAACATCAGCTAATGTCATTACAGAACCCTGGTGGCATAGTTGTTAAGAGCTACAGCTGCTAACCAGAAGGTCGGCAGTTTGAATCCACCAGCTGCTCCTTGGAAACTCTATGGGGCACCTCTACTCTGTCCTGTAGGGTCGCTATGAGTTGGAATCGACTCAACAGCAATGGGTTTGTTTTTGGGTTTTAATGTCATTATTGGAGGCCTGGAGGCACAATGGTTAAGCGCTTGGCTGTTAATCAAAAGCTCGGCAGTTGAATCCACTTGCAGCTCCTTGGAAACCCTATGGGGCAGTTCTACTCTGTCCTGTAGGGTCACTATGAGTCGGAGCTGACTCAGCGACAGCTAACAACAACATTGTTAGTATTAATCTTCATTCCATTACTGGGCAGCTGCAGTTTGGTCTCTATAGTCAAATAGGACTGGATTCCAACTCCATTTCTACTCCCTACCCTGTGTGACCTTCGTCAAGGTACTTAAATTCTCTAGGTCAGTGGAATGGGGGACGATAATGGTTATACTACCCAAGTGTTAGTAAGCATTAGGTAATACTTAAGGAGCCCTGGTGGTGCAACAGTTAAGCACTCGGCTGCTAAGCGAAAGACTGGCAGTTCAAACGCATGAGAGGCTCCACAGGAGAAAAGACCTGGTGATTTGTTCCCATGAAACTTACAGCCAAGAAATCCCTATGGGGCGATTCTGCTCTGTCTTTTGGGGTTGCTATGAATCGGAATCGACCCAAAAGCACCCACAACAGGTAACACTTAGGGAGTAGGCGTGCCGTTAGCACAGTGCCCGGCACATCCTATGTTCTCAATCACTAACTGCTCAGTACTATTATTATCTTTTACTGACCCTTCCGGTCTGTATTTACTGACGGTACAACATATGCCAAAGCTCCGTGCCTGCTCCCCAGCCCGTCTCCCTGGGGGCCAGTCTCAGATGGATGCCCCAGTAGGCTGGCTGTCTCTGACTCTTCTCTGGAGGTGGGGGGGCTCCTTCCTATTAACGCCGCATCACTGACAGCTGGGACCTCGGGTAGGATCCTCAACACTCTGGGCCTCCCCTCCCATCCTGAGCCAGTGATAATAATCCCTGCTTTGTCTACCCCACAGGGCTATTATGATATTAATTTTAAAATCATATTAATTAATAATTAATATCTAGCAATGTTAATTAAAAGGAGCCCTGGCGGCACAGTGGTCAAGCGCTTGGCCGCTAACCAAAAGGTCATATCTGTTCAACCCATCAGCCGCTCCTCAGGAGAAAGATGTGGGAGTCTGCTTCTGTAAAGATTACAGCCTCGGAAAGCCTATCGGGCAGTTCTACTCTGTCACGTGGGTTCACTATGAGTCAGAATCGACTCGATGGTAATGGCTTAATATTAATTATTCAAAAAATTTAATAGCAATTAGAATGTCTAATTAATTTATTTAAATATTTTTCAATTATCCTTAATAATACTTGTTAATTAAAATAATATTAATTAATTTTAAAATTAATATACGGTAATATACTTTGTAGAGGGCAGCAGTAGAACTCTTGCCTTCCATACGGGAAACCCAGGTTTGATTCCCAGCCAATGTACTTCATGCACAGCCACCACCCATCTGTCAGTGGAGACTTGCATGTTGCTGTGATGCTGAGCAGATGTTAGCAGAGCTTCCAGACTGAGAGAGACTGGAAAGAAAGGCCTGGTGATCTACTTCCAAAACTCAGCCCGTGAAAACCCTATGTAACACAGTGGTCCAATCCACAACCAATCATGGGGATGGTGCAGAACTGGGCCGCGTTTCGTTCCACTGTGCACGAGGTCACGAGTCGAAGGCCAACTTGATCCCAGCTAACAACAAAATATATTTTGTAAACTGTTGAGCAATTATGTAGACCCTCCTGATGATGATGAGGATGATGATGATAGCATAGAGGGACTTCCCATCCTACACTTGTCGTCAAGAACTGAAATTAAACAAGCCCGTTCCACACCCTGTTTGTCTGCAGATGAGTGGGATGGAGGAGCAGGTGGAATGAAGGGCAGGGAGATAAGCCAAGACGGACAACGACATTGCTCGGTTTGGTCTGGTGGAGGGGACACGGCAGGGCCTCAGAGGGTAATGACCTACTGCAAGCACCCAGACGGGGACCCCCGAGTCCAGCTTGTGATCAAGCAGCAGTGTGGACAATGGAAGTATCTGGGGTGACTAGTGGACTGGAGATTTGGGGGCCAACCCTAAATGTTCTAGACTAAGACTGCCCACCTCCCACTGCCTAGCACACTTCATATCACTCAGGAGTGGGGGCCCCACACAGGACTGAGGATGAATTTCTTACCACTCAAAGAGAGATTTAATTTGATGAATAATAATAAATAACGAACCAGTGGCCATCGACTGAGTTGACGCATGGCAACCCTGTGTGCGTCAGAGTGGAACTGTACTCCACAGGGTTTTCACTGGCTGTTTTTTTTGGAAGTAGATCACCAGGGCTTTCTTCTGAGGCACCTCTGGGTGGACATAAACCTCCAACCATTCAGTTAACAGCCAAGTGCGTTAACCATTTGCACCACCCAGGGACTCCAAAAATAATAATAACAAAGGACATGATGTTACCAAGCCCCGGAGTTGTGGGTTCATACCCACACCCCAAGGTAACAAGATGGCAATTGTTGCTAGTTGCTGTCAAGTTGATTCCGACTCATGGCGATCCCATGTGTGCAGAGTAGAACTATGCGCCATAGGTTTTCCAGGGCTGTGACCTTTCAGAAGCAGGTCGCCAGGCCTTACCTCCAAGGCACCTCTGGGTGGGTTTGAACTGCAAACCTTTGGGTTAGTAGCCCAGCACTTAACCATTTGCGCCACCCAGGGATCCTAAGAAGGTGGGACCCACAGGAACCTTGAGTTTTGCAGAAAGGGTTGTTGAAGCAGCCAGAGAGCCCTCCTTTCTACCCGCTGCTCAATTTAAGCCTGGGCGGAATCCAGGCCTGGAAATTGAGGGAGGCAACAGCTTTGGGGGAAGATGCAAAATTCAGTCTCACTTTGCCACATCCAGCAGGAGGCAGCCAGGCGCAGAAGTCCCAGTGAGGACACCCTGCCCCTTCCCTGATCTCTCCCGGACCACAGCACCTCTGCCCTCCTGCATGCCCGTGAGGAAGACACGGGCTGGACGCTGTGGCCCACTGCCCTTTGCAGGGGAGCGAGTTTGATGCTTCCTTGCCAAAGGGAGAAGAACTGGCCATCAGTCCCAAAGGTGGGCAGAACACCAGGCCCCACCTGATCTGGGGCAGAAATATTGGCCCGGGAATATCAACAGGTTTGCCGTGTGCCTGGGGCTGCGGGAGGCCAGAGGCTGTAACTGAACTGAGCCAAATTTCGAGAAATAGATTCCACCTTCCTTCGCTCTTTAGTTGGTGTGAGGTTCATTTACAGCCATCTCCAGCAAGGACACGAGCCAGGAGCACTTGGCGACACTTGGCCAGCTGGGAAGGTGCTCTGGGAACTGCCCCCACGAAGTTGTTCTGACGTGAAGCAGCCAATGAGAGCAAAGGTCAGGTGGGGGTTGGGCAGAGGGAAGGCCTCAGGGGGTGGGGAGAAGCAGGAGAGCTGGAGAGCTGGAGAGCTGGAAGAACGGGGTTAATCGGGGCCCTCCTTCAACCCAGCCAAGACCTGCTGAGCACCTACTATGTGCCAGCACTATGCTGGGCACTGGGGGCCAGAATGAAGGAGACATGGCCCGGAGCTCACGAGCTGGGGGCTGGGCTGCGGACAGAGCCGAGATGGCGTGAAAAGAGCCATGAGAGACTGCAAAGCATTATGGGAGCTCCAGGGAGGAGTCTGGGGAAATCCAAGAAGGCTTCACAGAGGAGGTGGTGTTGGCATCAAGCCTCGAGAGACGGTGCAGGCATTTGGAGATGGGGACTGAAGCAAAGGTAGAGAAGCAAGAAGTGTTTTGGGATGGGTGCATTTGGCTTTTGGACGTCAAGCCCCAGGAAATGCTAGAATGCCCTGACGGTGAAGAGGGCCTAGAATCGGATGAGGAAGTGGCCTGGCGGAGACAAGCTCCTGGGGAAGGGGGTATGAGCAGGGACAGTTGGCATGGGATATATCTCAGCACCTGAAACCAAAAGAAACAATCGCCCCCACTCGCCCAGCGCTGCCGGCATGCCCTGTGCTGTGCCAAGTACACCAACAGCTACTGGGTTCATTTCTCGTGCACACCCAGACCCAGGCAAAAGGGCGTCCATGCAGAGGGAGCCGCAGGGCAAAGGCTGGGTGGTAGGAAACCCAGGAGGTTTCTGCCCTGCCCGTCACTTCAGTGTCATAGGCACGAGCCCCTGCCTTGAGCCAGGTTGGGGGTAAAGCCGAACCCTGGCCTGGGGGTAGAGGGGAGGCTCATAGGGCCACTTCTCACTGGGCAGAGCCTCCGCCCACCTGCTGAAGGCAGACCTGGCCCAGCCCACTTCCCGTAGGGACCTCAGCCACAGGGGATGGGAAGCCAAGCCTGGGCTGCTGGGGCTGGGAGGCCCGCCTGCCTGCACAGCCGCCCCTGCCCAGGATGGGAGGGCCAAAGCTCCAGTCCTTTACCATTACAATGTGGTGCTGGGGCCAGCAGCATTGGCATCACCCGGGGGGCTTGTGACCAGTGGATCTGCATCTGCACTTCAACAAAAATCCCCAGGAGACCTGAATGCACCTCAAAGCTTGAGAGGCACTGGGCTAGCCCACACTGCCACCTAACAGACAGGAAACCAAGACCTGGCCCCGTGCCGGAGAGCGGCAGAGCTGGGGTGGGAACCAGTCCTAAGGTAAAGCCGGCCTCTGCGTACCTCTGTCTCCCGGAGCCTGGCCTCCAGGGCAGCACGGGGCCCCTGCGTGTTGTCACTGATCTTCAGCCGCTCCTGCACGTCCTCCATCCATGCCTGCGCCTCCTCCACCCTCCTGTCAAAGTCCTCCTGGGGCTGCTGCATCTTGGTACCTGTGGGGGCTGAAGGAAGGACACATGAGACCAGGCCGGCAAAAGTGCAGGGGGCTCTGGAGACGCCCCAAGGCAGGCTGACGGGCCGGGGGGCGGGCGGAGGACAAGGCCCAGGCCCACGCCTACCATCAACATCCCTGGGGCTCTGGAGTTGGGCAATAGGGACGGGGTCAAGTTGTCAGCAGCCAAAGGACTGGAAACGCCAGGGAAGAAAGGAAAACAAAACAGATCTGGCCTCTCACGTCTGTGGAGCGGGAGAGGAGGCCAGGTGCTAACCTGGCTAAGATCCTTTTGGCCTCTCACCCTTCCGCTCCCCTCAGGCGCAACGTTCTTCGGGTTCAAGTCCCTCCAAAAACTGATCTTAAACTCATACGGCCTGAGATGTCCGTGACTCATAAAGAATTTTTATTGGCACGGATCAAAAAGATTTCAGAATGCAATTTGTGGCTTTGGCCAAGCTGACGTCAGCCTTTTAGCTTCACCTGAGATTAACACCTCAGTCTGGGGATGGCCAAGTACCTACGCCAGGTATCTTGTCAATACTTCACTTACATAGGTCCAGGGCAGACATTGCTAATCAATCACAGCAACGTTTCCCGCCAAGCCACCCACCTCCCACCTCCATTCAGCACCTGGAGCAGCCACGGCCAATCCAGTGACAAGCACTAGCAATGAAACCCACTCGCCATCCTGCCTCGGGTGACTCTGCCTACTGGCCTCAGTCTCCACCCAACCAGCCCCCCTTTGCCTGACTGCCCACCCCTCCTCTCACCCTTAAATTGTAGACTGTGGACGCAAAGTCTCAGATTTTCCCATGTGATGTCATTAAAATCCCATTAAGCCCAGGCAACACTCTCCATTGTCCCAGTTCTCGTTTGTCTGCTTATAGTGACTACAGCCTGCTTTGGATTAAAGTTCTTTATATTTGCATCTTACAGGAAATACTCTGTCTGATTTATCCGCCAGTTTCCCAGAGTACCTTGCTCAGAATACACCCTCAGCAAATGTTGATAAAATAGCCCAGAACTGGTAGAAATGCTAAAACATCAAGAAACCTGGCAGAGTATTATTAAAATAGTGAAACAAAACTAGATACAACCTAAATGCCCAATAATAGCGGATTATTGAAGTAAACTGGAGCCCTAGTGGTGCAGTGGTTAAGAGCTCGGCTGCTACCCAAAAGGTCAGCAGTTCGAATCCACTAGCCACTCGTTGGAAACCCTATGCGGCAGTTACTCTGTCCTCTAGGGTCGCTATGAGTCAGAATGGACTTGATGACAATGGGTTTTTATTTAAGTAAATTATGGTAAATGTGCACTTTAGAATATTATGCAACCAACAAAAAGTTTGCTGAAAATGAGCTTGTGATAGAGAATGCTTAGGCTATAATGATGATAACCAAAAAATGAGACAAAATTATGTATTTAGTAGTCATAATTCTACAATTAACTTTTAAACACAAAACAAAACCTATGCTCATAAAAATAAAAGACTGAGCGAGAGGGTGCATGGGCTGGGTCGGACCCAGGGAGTGTGGGCAGAGAGTGGCTTAAGCCACACCCAGGACCTGCCCCTTGCTTATCCCACATGACTTTCAGCCCCCTTTCCCTGACAGGGGACCTTGAAGGCCACTTGGTCCTCACTGGGTAGCCACAGGCTGGAGGGTGGCCACCCAGACTGCATCAAACTCTTTTTTAGGGGGGAGAGAAATAAAACTTCATTGCATTAAAAAAAAAAAAAAAAGGCAGAAAGAAAAATATTAATGGCTATTGTCTTTGGGGAGCCCTGGTGGTGCAGTGAGTGGTTAACAGTCTGGCTGCCAACCAAAAGGTCGGCAGTTCCAGCTGCTCCTTGGAAACCCTATGAGGCAGTTCTACTCTGTCCTGTAGGGTCGCTATGAATCAGAACCGACTTGACAGCAACAAGTAATTGTCCTTGGTTGACATCCCTGGGTGGTGCAAACAGTTAAGTGCCGGCTGCTAACCAGCAGGCAGAGTTCACCCAGATGCACCTCAGAAGAAAGGCCTGGTGGTCTACTTCCCCAAAATCAGCCACTGAAAACCCTGTGCAGCACCGTTCTACTCGAACATACATGGGGTCGCCTTGAGTGAGAATATACCCCACAGCCAACGGGTTGGTTGGTTGGTTTTAATTGTCTTTGGTCGGCCGGTGCATAGTTGGAATTTTTTTTTTTTAAATGTACTTTGTAAATTTTCCATCAAGCGCAATTATTATTTTACAATGAAAACAATAAATAAACCCTTTTTAAATAACTGGCTGAACTGGCTGTTGTTGGCTCTTTCTTCTCAGCCAACAGCGGGTTGGTCAACAGCGTCGATTTGGGCTCTGAGCCCCACCGAGCTGGGCACCCAGGCCCCGCGCTGGGAGGGGAAGAGTCTTCACACAAGAACCCTGAGCCACAAGGACAGAACAGGACAACACACTGGGCGGAAGGACGCAGTCAGCTAGGGAAGGAGCGGGCTTCTCTCCAGGAAATGCGCGCGCCGTTCAGCGCTGTTTCCCCACGTGATGTTTTGCTTTCAGAGCTGTTCGGTTTTTTTTTTTTCTAACAATTTAATCCGTTCCCTGCAGCCACTCCCTTCTTCGAATGCTTCGTTTGAAAAGCACATTGGAATGTGCAGGGGTTTAAATTACTTCGTTATGCTTTCATCTCTTTTCTCGTGTGTAAACTGACGGGCTTCCAAAGGCTCCAACCTTTATTTTCACAAAGCGAGGAGTGGGAGGGGCAGAAATGGGTCCCGCGTTTCCAAGGACGCACAGGGTGGAAGTGGAGGCAGCGGGATTTGGACAACCCCTCGGGTTGGGAAGGCCTGGGGACCGGGATGGGAGTGGTTTGCAGACTCCCAGGCACTCAAAGGAACACAAGGTTTCTGGGGCAGGGGCGTGGCTGGCGTGAGCCGCCTACCTTGAGATCAGCCCCAGCGGAGTGATCTGACCATGGCCTTGGCCAGGTCACAGGCAGAGCTGGGCTCTAGTTCAGGAGACCTGGCCCTCCCGGCCCGTTCTGCCAAACCATTTCATTTCTGTTCAGTGAAACACAGAGGAATTAAGCGCACGCTCCAGGCCAGGCCGATGCTGCGACCATAGCAGCAAATAAGCTGACACCTCCCTGCCCTCAAGGAGCTCAGAGGTGGATGGAGAAGCCGTACAGAGAACACCTGTAGGGCCGCCGGGGGTGAGGGTGGGGGTGCAGG